CTTTCTGGGGTCCTCTCCTTCGGAAGTACCTAAGAAGCATAGTAACCTCCATCTTGGGTAAAAACTGCTGTTTAAAATTTTAACCCTGCCATCCTGGCTTCTGTAAACATTTGCTTCCTTAACTAATAGGGAAAATAAGACTACTCCCATTCCAGAGAGGCCATCAACTCTGCCCCAGACAGAGTTGTCAGTGCTGGCGCCAGGCCAAGCCTTGAGATATGGTCTCACGGCCCTGTCCCAGCACACAGGACTTTTTCTCAGAAGGTCCGGAAGTCTCATTCCAAATTTGGAAAACAAAGAGCTGAAAAACATATAAATTGAAAAGACTTCCACCATATTGGGCCCCAGAATTTGAGAAGCAAGAGTTCCTCTGGGCCCGCTAGCGCTAGCGAAAATGAACAGGACTCCAAATAAATTTGGCTTATTGATTAAGGCGTCTTCTGATGTACAATATAACACCTAGAGCAGGGGTGGGCAACCTTTTTGTGAGTGCGTGCCAAAACCAGCAAAATTCTTCTGCGTGCCAACCCTAATTTTTTGAGAACATGTTATGCCTACTTGATATCTCTTAAGGTGTACGTATGTGAAGAACCTTGAAGAAATAATAACATTCATTCGAGCGACAAAAACACAGTATATGATGATGAAAAATACATTTATTTTTGAATGTATACATGTACACTGATAGTTCGACAGAAAACTTTATGACTCCGTTTGGTATTATCAGTGGGACTTTTGCTGCTGCATCACTGATGACAGAGATTTTACATCAGGTTTATATTTCGTGACCTTCAGAGATATGCACGAGCTACTACTTTCATCCGTCAGGCTACTCCTATTACGAGACTTAACAAAATTCATCACTGAGAACAAAGATTCACAATTGTAAATGGAAGATTATAAGAGAGGGTTTCACGTGCCAGCAAAAGTTACTGGCGTGCCATGTTTGGCACGCGTGCCAGGGGTTGCCCACCCCTGACCTAGCGCCTCCTGCACAGACGGGGTGGGGCATGTCCTCCCCCTGCACACTGAGTTCACAGCCTGCAATTGGCGGTTTCTCCAGCCCTTGCTCACCTCTGCACAGGCTCCCCCCTCTCCGGAGTCGTATACAGGGCACTTTCGTAGCGACTCACCTACCACGATCTGGGATTAATTCCTCTTTTCAGGAGCCGGCGTACAGGCGGGCGGAAACCACCTCGCCAGATCGCTCGTATGAGTTCACATGCACCAGGCACGCCTGCGGCAATTCTGTTCGCTTCTCCGCATCTTGCATGCCCTCCCCACCCGGGCCTGCATTTATCACGGAGTAGGCATCTGACAGACTCTTGGGAAATGGCCCGCGCAGTGCATTCGAGCAGGTTTTTATACAGCCCCGGGCTTGTTGCCTCCTTCTCCTCCCAGCCACGTGATTCGGGATACGTTACTTAGCCGCCCAGACCTCAGCTTCCTCAAACCCAAGGCAGAAGCATCTCACTGGGGGTTTGTGAAACACGGAGAGAGTGAGAGGGCGTAAGTAAAGCCCGATACACAGCATGCGTTCATACAAGGTTAGTTTTTCTCCCCAGGAGGGAAAACCCATAATGGTGCTGGCCCTGGTAGACCTCACCATCTCTCATGCTACAAAACTCCCGTAATCATCGCTATTTAGGGAAAGTTAGTGTTTGGAGGGAGGAGAAAAACGCACATACACTTTAATCCATTAGCAAGACAGCGCAGAAGTTTACAATCTACCTTTGATGTGCAATTTGGAGAAGGCGGTCCCAAATACTTGAGGGATCGTCTCTCCCCTTGATGTGATGTTGGAATTTAACTCCCATTAACTGTTACAGGCATAACAAGCCGGCATCCGGGGGGAAATACCCTCTAGTGCTTAATGAACACAAAATAAAACATTTCCTTTTATCTTCGACATCTACCAGAGTAATTTGAATAATGATATTCATATTCATGACTCATCAGACCCTTCCGCCAGCTCAGTGTTGTCACTAAGGCCCCTATGAAATGCCAATAACTTCGCCGAGATCTTTTTGATGATATTATGGTATGGAAGCTCCTGCTGCAGATGACTCATGGGGTCACAGGTCAATAGAAGGTAAAGAACATTCTACAGCACAGTAGCTGTGTCTTTCTACTCAAACCAATGGGATTTGGTGGCCACATAGAGCACAAATCACCTCTGATTGAGCAGAGACCCTCTGCCACCGGATAGGATGAAAACAGGGCAGCGGCAATAATGAAGGCTGTGAGGGTCTGCGGGGGCCCAGCTGGGGCTAGAAGGACACCTTGTGAGTATAAAAAAGGACTGGGGCTGTGGGGGAAGAGTTTAGGTCAGTGGTTCTCAACCTGTGGGTCGAAACCCCTTTGGTGGTCGAATGACCTTTTCACAGGGGTCGCCTCAGACCATCCTGCATATCAGATATTTACATTACGATTCATAACAGTAGTAACATTACAGTTATGAAATAGCAACGAAAATAATTTTATGGTTAGGAAGGTTGAGAAGGTTGACCCTAACACAGAGATGACATAGCCGGTGTGGGGAAGAGACCTAATGTTTGTTTGTTACCTCCCGTGTGCCAAGTACTTTACTTGTCATCTCATTTAATCCTCCCCCTAATCCTGTATTTTATTTCTCTCGAGGGAAACTGGCAAGCCGGAGGAAAATGAGATGCAGAGAGAGCCCTCCAACTCCCCCATTCTTTCTGCACACACATCATCTCCGTTCACTCGCTGATCAAACATTGATAACAAAGCAGATTTGCAAGTGATTCTATTTAGGACAAACGGATGGGTACTCGGGCCTCTGCCTGCAGTAGTTCACTTAGAAAACAAGGGAGAGGAAAGGAAATGAGTACTTTCCAATGAATGGGCAAACATGGTCCCGTCAGCAGCTAAAATCAATGAAAGCAGCAGTGCAGGGGGACCGAGGCACAAGGTGCTTCTGAGATGCTGGTAATGTTCTGTTTCCTGCCAGTGCCTTTTTTGATGTTCGCATTTTTAAAAATTCATCAGACTGAAAAATATTACATATTTATTGACTTTGTGAGGTGTGAATTATTTTACTCAAATAAGAAGTCAAGCTCATTTATTTACTCAACAAAAGTATATGTACATATTAGATACCAGTCACTATATATGATGCTAAGGATCTAGAGATGAATTAGTTATTCTTGATTCCGGTCCGCCATGGGCATGAGCTAGAGTAGGAGGAAGACTGCCATGAAAACAGATAACTACAATGCCCCCTGATTCCGGGAATGGTTTAGGGATGGATGGAGCGCTGGAGCTATAGAGGAAGAAGCTGTGAATGATGCATTGAAAAGCTACACATAGAAAGCTTTTGTGAGCAGAAAGTTCCTCCCTTCAGACACCACATTGTCAAAGATGTCAAATAAGCAGTTGGAAACTTTGATTTAAGACATGAGGAAGATTGGGGCTGTACATATAGGTATGTGTAGGTTCACAGTTCCATATGGTGATGGTTGAAGTTGCAGAGATGAGATCACCAAAAGAATGTGTTTGGGCAAAAAAGGAAGGGACAGATGATGAAACTCTGAAAGGAGAATTCGAGTGGACGGAGAAGGAAAAGCCTGCAAAGAAAACGAAAACAAAAAGGTAAGTCAGAGAAGTAGAAAGAGAAAGAGGAGACTCGTGTCTTATGAGCAGAGGGACAAGAGAATGTCAGAGCATTGAGTTTCATTGTCAAAAGCCATTTGCAAGATCAAGTAAGACTGGTACAGTAAGTTCTCACTTAACATCATTGATAAGTTCTTGGAAACTGTGACTTTAAGTGAAACAATGTATGTAATGGCACACACAAGTTAATTAGTAAAATTCTGTGGCACACCAAAAAATATATTTTTTTGCCAATCTGACAAAAGAAAATAGGTATAATTTTGGTTCATTCACACCAGCAGCTTTTGTTGTGTTGGCCGTTGTCATTTTTTTAAATTTGATAATCTAAAGGAAAAGAGGTTAGTATCCCGACTAATAGTCAGGTGCTGCACATTTAAAAAATTCTTGCAGCACACCAGCATGCTTTTGCGGCACATGGGCTGAAAATCGCTGCCATAGGCTAACTGACACACGCAAGAATTAAGTTGTAATGGCATCTTATGAACGTTATAACTAAACAACATTAAATGAAACGGTACTCAGAGACCTGCTGTATATGGTTTTGACAATTAAGAGGTCAGTAGAGGTCAAAATGAAACTATTTTTAAAAATCTGGCTTTGATCGGAATAAAAAAGGCTATGACTATAGATTAGTCTTTAGAGATATTTGGTGGTAAAGTGAAGGAGAAAGGTAAATTACTTTGAACATGATTGTAGGCTAAGGGGAAGGAGAAAACTAAGCAACCGTTGAGTGGCAGGAGGTCCCAACCTCAGTGGGGTGGGGTAGAGAAGTCTCCAGAGACGATTGTTTTAAAGGTGTCTGCTCTTCTAAGCGAGGTCCACAGACGGGTAGCATCAGCAGCACCTGGGAACTTGCTAGAGATGCAGAATCTCAGGGCAAATTGCAGGTGTAATGAAGCAGAATCCACATTTTAACAAGATCCCCAGGTGATCATAGCTTGTAACCCTTAAAACAAGCGGTGAGATGGGCATTACTGCTCCCGTTTTTGTTTTTGTTTTTACCAATAATGAGACTAAAGCTTGAAGGATAGCAGAGCTGATTAGCAGCTGAGCCAACATTCAATCCCAGCGCTTTCTGACTCCAATGCTCCTTTCAAAAGGTAGAAAAGTAAGTTCAGAGGAGTTGTTGCTTTTACTCCATTCAGAATTGTTTCAGATGCTAGAACGCCGCCAGCGATCAATCACAGGTCTGCAGCTCTAGTGCCGCCGCTGCGTTTGTTGAGACTGGGACGCTGGCATCCCTTGGCTTACTCGCCAGAAACCACCTCGGCAGGGTTGAACTTCACTTCCCAACAAACCCTGCGGCTTCCTATCGCGAGAGGCATGACGAGAACCTCGCTGCTCTCTCTTCTCGAGTGGAGGGTCCCAGCAGAGGCGGGACACGTCCCAGCACGGCGTAAGGGCGCGCGGCATCCTGGGATATGTAGTCTGGCTGGGACCAGAGCGCCCCCTCGAATGAATGGGGTCGGGGCTGACAGTGAACTACAGCTCCTCTGGCCGGGAGCGTTGGTGGCGGCGCCGGGGAAGAGCGGCGCTCCGGGAAGGGACGAAGTTCTGTGCCACCGCCGAGGTAGTGGTCTAGGCGGGCGCTTCCTCCGCGCGCGCGCTCCCCTTCCCTGCGCCCGCCATGCGCCCGCTCTTCGCGGTGGGCCTGGTGTTCGCCGGCTGCTGCAGTAACGTGATCTTCCTGGAGCTCCTGGTCAGGTGAGTGCCCCCCGCGGTTCCCGGGGCTGCACCGAGAAAGCCGGAGGGGCGTCCGCACGCGTCACCCCCACGCGCCGCGGGGTCGGCTCTGCGCGCCTGGAACCCTGAGAGTCCACTCCTTCATCCTGCGCTCCGCCCGCTGTCCCACCAAATAGTTTCACAGCATCGCTCGCAGAAACACTCGGGGTGTTGCTGGCATCACCCCCTTTTCACACACGGGGGGATTGAATCCGGGGGAATTTCTCACGTGACTGGCCTCAGGTTGGCAGGAGCTTGTGGCAGACCCCAAGGTTCCTCTAGCTCTTTTCTCGGGTAATAATGCCACGTTTGGCTGAAGCAAAGCTTTTCGACGTATCATGCAGTCTGGTTTTGCACACGCTGCAAAGAAAGTGTCATGTGTATTCAAGTGCCTGCAAAGCATTTGTTTTGCTACCCTTACAGATCAGATGGCCATGATGACTTTGCCCAAACATTACCTCTCAGTGATGTAGGTGAAACAGTTCTTATTTATGTCTATGGTCCGTCTAATTGACCCAAGAGAGCATTCCCAGCTTTAAGATATTAGTCTTTAAATTGGGAGGCATGTATTTTGAGACCTAACTTTCTAAATTAGGATTGGGGGAGTGGATAAAAACAGCTGTGGTACATTTAGACAGTGGAATACTACTTGGCTGTAAAAAAGAAGAAAATCTGACCTTTTGCAACAGCATGGATGGACCTGGGGAGTATTATGCTAAGTCAAATGAGCCAGTCAGAGAAAGACAGATACCATATGATCTCAGGTATATGTGGAATGTAATCAACACAATCCCTTGACAAACAAAATAGAAACAAGCATAGGTACATAACAGATTGGCAGCTGTCGGAGGGGAGGAGAGTTGAGGGCCGGGTGAAAAAAGGTGAAGGGATTAAGGAAAAAAAATATATATATGACACATAGGCAGGAACAACAGTATGGTGATAGCCAGGTAGAAAGGAGGGGTTGGGAGGTGGAAGTGGGCAAAGAAGAGGTAAGTGGGAACAGGAATATACTTGACTTTGGGTGGTGAGTGCAGGATGCAGATGATGTTTTTATTGAGTTGTACACTTGAAACCTGTATGGTTTTATTAACCAGTGTCACCCCAATAAATTCAATTAAAAAAGAAAAAAAGAATGGGGGTGCCTAATGGAAGCTTCCAGTGGTGAGCAGGAGGTACTACACACAGATGTCAAATTTTAATGTTGCACACCTGAAACTTATGCAATGTTAGCCGAAAAAAAGAAAGAAAGAAAGAAAGAAAGAAAGAAAGAAAGAAAGAAAGAAAGAAAGAAAGAAAAGAATGGCTTCACCAAAGAGAAACTACAATGGGTGCAAACTGTTACAGAAAAAGCACCAGGTGTCCTGAAAAAGGCTCAGGACTGAAAAATCTCGAAATTACGAACTTCATTCTTGGCTTTGTCATACCCGGGTTGGGTGACCTTTTCAAATCATTTCGCTTCTCTGGACCTCCTCCTGCTGTGAAATGCTATTTATGGCGCTATCTACCATCATGTTTCTGAGTCTACACTATCTCCATTGACCCTCAGGACAATCTGTGTCCAGTATAGGTCAAGAATTATAATGTCTGTTTTACTGAAAATGGAACAGTTCCCAAGAAGTTAGATGGTCTTTTACTTCTTGTAAGTGGCAGAGACAAAACTGGAATCCAGGATATCTAAACTCCTAGTCCAGCGGTTCTCAACCTGTGGGTTGCAAACAATGAAAATACATCCTGCATATCAGATATTTACATTACGATTCATAACAGTAGCAAAATTACTGAAGTAGCAACGAAAATAATTTTATGGTTGGGGGTCACCACAACATGAGGAACTATTAAAGGGTCGCGGCATTAGGAAGGTTGAGAACCTGTTAATTTTGAACTTGAGCAGCCTATAGGTTTTGGTCACCCAGTTTCTCATGTGGTGCCCACTAGAAATGTATTTTATTTTCCTGATACCATTGATTAAGTCATTCAGAAGCAACCAGTTTATTTAAGGTAAACTCTGTGTGGGGTTAATTTTTGCAGTTACTGAGATTGAAATTTTGTTATGCAGACAGTGTTGATAAAGATCTGTCATTTGTCATTCTTTTCTTTTTAAAGGATAAAGTACTTTAAAAAAAAAGAATAGCTTATTGATTTTTAGAGAGAGAGGAAGAGTGAGAGAAACATCGATATGAAAGTGCAACATCGATCAGCTGCCTCCTGCACGCTCCCCACCGGGGATCCAGCCCAAAACCTGGGCATGTGCCTTGACCTCAAATCCGACCGGCAGCTTTGTGGTGCACAGGAGGAGGCTCAACGAACTGAGCCACACTGGCCAGAGCCATTTGTCCTTGTTGAGAGTAGGTGGCGAGGGATATAGCAATGTATCCTGCTGTAAGCTGGTACATTTCAAAGGAAGGTTACTTTGGAAATCATTTTTTTTAAATGATTTCTGTTCTTTTATTTTTTTAAAATTTATCTTTATAGTTGAAAGTATTACATATGTCCCCCTTTTTTCCCACATTGACCCCCGCCCCAGGCCTTCACTGCACTATTGTCTGTGTCCATGGGTTATGCAGATATGCATAGAAGTTCTTTGGTTAATCTCTTCCCATCCTCCACCCCCTCTAACACCCTGCCTTCCCTCTGAGATTTGTCAATCCGTTCCATGCTTCTATGCCTCTGTTTTGTTCATCAGTTTATTTTGTTCATTACATTCCACATATGAGTGAGATCATGTGATGCTTGTCTTTCTCTGACTGGCTTATTTGGCTTCGTATAATATTCTCCATGTCCCTCCATGCTATCCCAAAGGGTAAGAAATCTTTCTTTTTTGCTGCTGCATAGTATTCCATGGTGTAAATGTACCACAGCTTTTTTTGTCCACTCATCTAACTTGGGCTATTTCCAGATCTTAGCTATTGTAAATTGTACTGCTCTGAACATAGGAGTACATACATTCTTTCTGATTGGTGTTTCAGGTTTCTTGGGATATATTCCTAGAAGTGGGATCACTGGGTCAAATGGCAGTTCCATTTTTAATTTTTTGAGGAAACTCCATACTGTTTTCCACAGTGGCTACACCAGTCTGCATTCCCACCAGCAGTGTACTAGGGTTCCCTTTTCTCCACATCCTCTCCAGCACTTGTCGTTTGTTGATTTGTTAATGATAGCCATTCTGACAGGTGTGAGGTGCTACCTCATTGTCGTTTTAATTTGCATCTCTCTGTTGATTAGTGACTGAGCATTTTTTTCATATGTCTCTTAGCCAGCTGTATATCCTCTTTGGAAAAGTGTCTATTTAGGTCTTTGCCCATTTTTTAATTGGATTATTTGTAAGCAGTCTATGAATTTAATGCAATTCCTTTAAAATACCAATGGCATATTTCACTGATCTAGAACAAATATTCCAAAATTTATATGGAACCAAAAAAGACCATGAATAGCTGCAGCAATCTTGAGAAAGAAGAACAAAGTGGTAGGGATCACAATACCAGATATCAAGTTATACTACAAAGCCACTGTGCCTCAAAACAGCCTGGTCCTGGCACAAGAACGGGCATATAGATTAATGGGACAGAACAGAGAACCCAGAAATCGACCCAAGCCATTATGCTCAATTAATATTTGACAAAGGAGGCAAGAGCATATAAGGGAGTAAAGACAGTTTCTTCAATAAGTGGTGCTGGGAAAATTGGACAAATACATGCAAAAAAATGAAACTAGGCCACCACCTTACACCGTACACAAGAATGAAGTCAAAATAGATAAGACTTACATGTAAGTCATGAAACCATAAAAATTCTGCAAGAAACCATAGGCAGCAAAATCTTAGACACCTGTCGTAACAATATGTTTGCTGATAGATCTCCTCAGGCAAGGTAAAAAAGGAGAAAATAAACAAATGGGACTACATCAAAATAAAAAGCTTCTGCGCAGCAAAAGAAACGATCAACAAAACAACAAGAAAGCCCACTGTATGGGAGAACATACTTGCCACAAATATATCTGATAAGGGATTAATTTTCAAAATATATAAAGGACTCATACAACTTAACAAATGGAAATTGATTTTAAAATATAAAAATGTGATAAAATCAGGCCAGCCAAATAAAGGTCAGAGAATAATAGTGTCACATTTGTGTTGAATATGCCATTAAATTAAATCTTCTGAAAGGTTGTGTGAAGTCAGTTATGTTAGCAGCTGAAGGCCCTCTTTACTAATTATGAGCACTCGGCTAAATTACTTGATCTCCCCAGTCTGTTTGCTCAACAGTAAAAGTGGGGTGGGGAGGTGATGGCTCCACCTGCCTCACGTGGATTTGAAGGAGATTCATGTGCAAAGCCTGAAGCACATTCAGACTTCCCCTCCCCTCTAACAACTTTTATTTTAGTGCAGGCCTGCCTTGTTTTATGGGTTTGTTCCTGAGAAGTTGTGGATAAATCTAACTTTACAGAATGTTTTCATGCATTATGGAAGCTTCTATTTAGAACGCTTTGAATAATGTGTAAATAAATCGTCGCTCATTTATCCCTTTTGTAAATCGAGATTTTTGCATACAGCAATGGGCTTTCGTAAGGAGAGGGGTACATTTATGACTTTAATGAATGGTACATCAGATGAATAGCAGCTTTTTTCCTGATTTGCTTGGGCAACTCACGACTTCTCATGTTACAATAAAGTAGGAGCTGGTTGGACTGGATGGTCTTTAAAGTTCTTTCTAGTTTTGGCCTCAGAATTGTTGACTCTGTCTTGGGACATCACAGCTCATAAATCTTTATAGAGTAGGAACTTGCTTTTTATATGGCTTCCTTGGAACCCTTGGGTGCCGTAATAAATGGCAAGTAGAAACATGGAAATGCTAAAGTGAATTGCGGGGAGAAGTGAACATTTTAAATCATTTTTCCCAAATTGGAAAAACAAATGTAGGTTTTTCTTTCTGATGTTCATACCTATATTTAGGATCTAAAATAAAATACAGGCCACAATGCAGTGTAAAGAGCAGATGTGAATGACTGAGGGGATGTGCATCAGCTAACTGAGGAGGCAAGGTATTGTGTGTTTTACATGAGGAAAACACTCTGAAACATTTTCTTTCCCCCATTTTATTCCAATCAAGTGCCTGGTACTGAATCAAATAGAAAAGTTTCCTAAATCTAGACTATGAGATAACAAAAGGCATACAATATATGCCCAATTCTTTCTCTTCAAAGTTGCCTTTTTTTAAAAATAAAAATTTGCCCTGGCCCACATGGCTCGGTTGGTTGGAGCATCGTTCCATCATGCACTGAAGGGTCATGGGTTCGATTCCTGGTCAGACACATACCCAGGTTGTGGTTTCGACCCCCAGGCAGGGTGCATACGAGAGGCAACCAATCGATGTTTCTCTCTCATGTGTATGTCTCTCTCTAAAATCAATAAAAGCATATCCTCGGGTGAGGATTTTAAAAAAATTTTATATAAAAAGTTAGAATGGCCGAAACCGGTTTGGCTCAGTGGGCCTGCGGACTGAAAAGTCCCAGGTTTGATTCCGGTCAAGGGCATGTACCTTGGTTGCGGGCACATCCCCAGTGGGAGATGTGCAGGAGGCAGCTGATCGATGTTTCTCTCTCATCGATGTTTCTAACTCTCTATCTCACTCCCTTCCTCTCTGTAAAAAATCAATAAAATATATTTTAAAAAAATAATAATAAAAAAAAAGTTAGAATGAAATAAAATAAATTTGGATTCTTGCAAGAGAGAATTCAAAGTCAAAGAAACTGTTTTTAATTATGACTATAATTCCCAAGAAATGAATTTCAACAAAACAAGTGATTTAGGGAAAAGGCTCTTAAGTTTTTACTCTGAAGTTTTAAAATTAATTACATTAAAATAAATAATTCCATTGGTATCTACACAACAGTGTGTTCCTAAAAAGCTCTGCAAGTTCATTTTTTAAAAATGGAATCATGTGAGTGCAGTAGGGAAATTTAACAATGCTATGGAAATAGAGCACGGAGATTAGATTTGTCAAGGGGCTGATTGGATTTTTGTTGGAGGTGTCCTGAATCCAGATCATGGTTGCTTAAAGTGAGGCATCCCCACATTCACTTAGGTGCTTGAGTGAAGGCCAGACACTGCCCAGAGAGTAGGGGCACCTTCCTCTAGCCATCCCTCTGTGGCCCTGGGTCCTTACTGTCTCATACTCCCTCATCCTGTCATCTCGGGGGCAGGGATCAGGTCTCATTCACATCTGTAGCGTCCTGGCAGCTAGCCCCTAACTTTACGCACAGTAGGAACTCCCTAATTGTTCTTTGGTGGAATCAACCTAGGCTTTTGGTAAAGAGAAATGGGAGGGAAAGCTAGGAAGCTTCTTGAGCCCTCGGGCTAAGTCTTGGGCTTGGCACTTTATGTGTATTTTTTTCATTACATCCTCATGACAAGGTTAAAAACATGTCCCTTTTGATTTATAGGTGAGAAGAAAACGGTCAATATAAACTTATTTTAAAAGGTTACTATATTCAATTGAAGACCTTCTCATATGCAAGATGCGACATTTTGGTCCTCCTAGAGTCCCAGTCTGCCTTTTTCCCTGCTTGGCAGACACTGTGGGAAGTGCTTTTCAGGGACTGGCTTATTTGCTCTGCAGTAAAACCAATGAGATAGTAGGCACTCATACTGTTCCCATTTGAAAGATAAGAAAACTAGATGTAGATAGGGTAATCAACTTCCATGTCACTGGGTAAGTGACAGCTGCGTCTTGCATGTCACTGTGTATTTTTAGCCACGGGAGCGCAGTAATTCTCAACCCTGTGTCAGCACATAAAGATTACCTGTGCATCTTACATGCACCCTCACCCCTCCTGTCCTTTCCCCCAGACTTACCTTAGAGTTCTCAGCTCTGGCTGCACATGAGAATCAAGTGGGAAGCTTACAAAAGTACAGTACCTATCCCAGACCAATCCGGTCCGAACTGGGAGGGGAGGCTCCCAGCGCTCATGGTTTTAACGAGCAGCCTAGGTGTGCAGACTATGCCAGGAACTATCTTGAGCTCATGTTCCTTCTCCCCTAACTCATAGTGAGGCTAGTGGCTTTAATTAGCTCCTTCAAGGAGGTAAATGTCTTATATGATTATTTATGGATTCCTGCAGCTTTTAGCCCCGTCCCTTGAACATAAGAGGTGCTAAAAGAAATCACCGAATTGAATATAAAGCTGTAGTTTTCATAGACAGTGGAGCCTAAAGAGTAGCAACAGTTCTGCCTCAGATGTCAGCATAGCTCCGTACAAGAAAGGCTTGTGCTTGGAGCTGTTTATTTTTATGCCTAATGGGTGTATTTTGGAATTTGTATGCTCGGCACTGCTATTCAATATTAAAACCACTAACAGGATGGAGTTTTTTTGTTTATTTTAAAATAAATAGCATTGTATTAATATGTAGTCATATAATTACACCCCTCTACTCAGTATCTGTGGGTAAATGCCTTGGGTGAAGGTGAAGCTGCAGGATACGAAGGCTGAATTTTGTAACGTGGGGATGTGGGTAGTATGGGCAACCAGGAAGCTTCAGGAAAACAAAGGCAGCTAGCTGCTCACTTTGACCTCCCTCCAGTGGTTGAGCAGATCCTCATGGAGGACAAGCTCAAAAATAACACATACAGTTTGAGTAACTCCTTTTCAGCATGCCTCAGGAGGGATGCCAGAAGGAATTCTTCTCTTGTACATTTTTCCCTAAGTCACCGTGAAAGATTCCCCATCCCTTACTAGATCACTGAAGAGCTTCGATTGAATTTCATGAACATTCACTGAGTGCCTAATAGTGTTGTATCGTAAATCAGCGAGCTAGACAAGACGCCTTAATGAGCCAATTAGTTAGGAGTCATCTTTATTGCGCGCGGGTTCAGAGCAGAATACCGCTGTCAACTTCTGAACCCCAAAACATAGAGGAAGTTCTCGCTATTTATACCTTTTGATTGCTTTGCAGATTTTACGAAGAGCTTTGTGTAGGTTATTTTTGCAGACAGTTTGTAAGTTTGGATACATAATGAAAAAACACTTGGCATGAGAATATGGGAATTATTATCAGTATTCACCTATTATGTTAGACGGCTAGCTTGCAAGGTCAGACAGTTAAGTTTTTATCTTTTTCTATTCAAACTAAAACAGTTCTTTTACAGAATAAGGGACTATCTAAAAATAACAGAGTCGACCTACAGAATAAGAGACTGTCTAAGAATAACAGTAGTTCAAACAGCAGTTTTCTAAAGGAGGAATTACTATGCCTCAGTACATTTGTGTTAAAGGTTGTGGAGAATAAGCAGTGTCCTCCTTCTTTTCATTATTGCTTCTTACCCCTCTCCCCACCCCCATCTAAAACCCCCTTTTAGACATTTTTTCCTAGACATCCCCCCCAGACACACTGTATATGGGTTTATGTACTGTACATATATCTGTGCTTTATACTTACAAAATACTAAGCTTTCTCCCACCCTAAGAACCAGTTTTTGCCTCTATACGGGAGCGAAGACAATGTCCCTGGATATGAGTCTTTGACTGACAGTAGTCTTGGAGATTCCGGTCAGGAGGATATACTATAAATGTTTCCAGGAGACCTGAGCATGAGCTGCGTAGGCTGACTAGGATCCTGAATGAAGTCCTCTTGGTTACGTAAGTGAAGATCTCAAAAAGAACATCTGACTGACCAACTTCCTACAGTTTACTAGGAAGGTTGTATCAGAGCGGTCCTTCCCGATGGCCTGCTGTACCTATAGGAGAGTGAAATGAGGCTTGACGTTCTTCTCTGTGAGGTGTGTTGCTAAATGTATGTGATCCATGGGACGTGAAAACCGAGAGGACAGTGGGTAATGGAAATCTATCCCCCTGTTACTCTGAACTGTCACTATAACAGGTCATAGTGGCCTTTATCTCAGACTTTTGTGCCTTTTTCTTTTTGTCCCTCACTATGCAGGAAGCATCCAGGATGCGGGAACATTGTGACATTTGCACAATTTTTATTTATTGCTGTGGAAGGCTTCCTCTTTGAAGCCAATTTGGGGAGGAAGCAGCCAGCTATCCCAATAAGGTATGTACATTGAAGTCTCTTTTAGCCTTGTTTGTCTTAAAATAACATCGCCTAAGAATCCAGAAACACCAGTCAGAAAGAATATATCCACCCCTATGTTCATAGCAGTGCAATTTACGGTAGCTAAGATTTGGAAACAGCCCCAGTGCCCATCAGTGAGATGAGCAGATAAAAAGGCTGTGGTACCTTTACACACT